ACACACACACACACACACACACACACACACACACTGGTTGGGGTTTTGTATGTGTGTATTAAATGAAGTGAAAAGGCTTTGCTGTCTGTGAGATTTCTTCATGCGCTGAAGACGCTGTTCCAGCAGGTGGCGCTGTCGTTCAGCACACTGGTTTCCCAGAATAGACCGCTTGCAACCCATTCAGAGATCTTTGCACCAATGCAACCAACACCTGAACACAGACACATGACATCAGAACAGTAGAGTTTGTGTGTCCTCCTGTCGTCTGCTCTGTTTCAGCAGATGCTCTGGCTGTGAATAAAAACTGATTTGGGAGTAAATTAATTCATCATGTTTCATTCTGACAGTATCTAAAGCTCACTTGTGTTTGTTCTAAATCAGAGATTGAGCTAAACTATGTACTTGAAATCCATATGAGATTATTTAAATAATTATTAAACCACTGATGTTGGTTAATGGTTACATGTCATGCATTTAATTTAATATTCTTAAATGATTTATTCAATAGTTTAAAATAGTTTACTAGGAGAACTTGTAAAAACTCACTGGCTTTTCAGAATTGAATCACTGTTTTTTTTTCAATAATGATTATTTCAATGTCTTTTCAACATGGGTGTTAAAACCTCAACTTTGGTTTATAAGCGTTTGGTTCATTTTAATTTTAAAATAACGACTTTTCAACATTGAAATAAAAATCATTTCGGTCGCATTTCAACTGAGCATTTTATGCGTTTTACAACTTTTTTAACTTTAAATGCATTTTTCAATGTTTTGGCAGTGTTGAAACTGACATCCTTTCAGCTGTGATTTATAATTCATTTGTTCACTTTTTTGCATCCAGCTGGCTTTAAACTGATGTTGGTTAAATGACACGTGACATCTAAAAGGCGCTTTATTTTTACTATTTTGAAATGATTTCATTTTCATTTTGTGATTGCATGAATCCTAAGGTCTCCGTCAACGTGCACACTCTTAAACATAAACATGCCAACATCTCACAGCGATCCCATAGAAGAGCCACTTTTGGTTCCCCAAAGACCCTTTCAGTGCTCAGTTCTTAAAACAAACATTTTTTTCTTGAATCTAAAGTACGCTTTTCTGCTTTTGTGCAATGGAAAGATTCCGTGAATGTTAAAAAGGTTTTTCATGCCAATAAATCAGCTTTATTTTCAAGAGTGAGCCCCAGTTTGGGAAGCTCTTGTAGGTCATTAAATGTCATGTTATGGTTCTGTGGAAGCTGATCTGAAACCAGTCACATGAGCATCGTATTCCGTTTGATTTGACTGATTGTCCTCGTTTTAAGGTAAACATCCCTCACACCTTACATGAGAATTATTTGAATTTACAAACAATGTCAATATCACTGAACATTCAGGAGTCAGTGTGTTAGTGGGCTTTTACTGCAGTAAAGTGTTGCTGTCATGAATTAAGATCTGAAGAGTTTTTTTTATTTCCAGAATGATTCTGGCCAGCTTTTCTAGAAGCATCGCTGTGAGTTCAGTCAGAGTCGCTGAAGAGCCATGTGTGTGTGTGTGTGTGTGTGTGTGTGTGTGT